GCAGCTTCGATTACCGGCCAAGCCGGTGTTGGTGTTGCCCTGAGTATCCGGGCTGAAGCTACTCCGGTTGATTGGATCCCGGATGAGTGCGAACTGATTGGCTGGCTCGTTCAAAGCTTCGAAGCCGCACGGGACTAACAGGTGTCTATTCGTTATCGCTGCCTATGCACCGACAAACAGTAGCCATGACTCGGTAGAAGACGACTTCTATTTTCAACTGAACCAGCTCCTTCGTAATAGTGCTGGCTAAGGATCTGAACGCTCAAGTTGGAAAATTATCCACAGATGAACTACATCTGGGATACCAACACGGTGTAGGCCCCCTTAATGATAACGGTGAGCGGTTACTTCATTTGTGTGAAGATGCTCGCTTATTGCTTGCGACTACTAATTTTCGACGCAGCACCCGCCGAAGGGTGACTTGGCGCCCACTAGCCTCGAACCAGCAATGGACGCAAATCGATCACACTGCGATAAGTTACGGATGGTGAGGTTGCATCTAGAGCTGTCACTCGATTTGGAGCACATGTTTAGACACCGACCATGCACTTGTCTATGCTGACCTACGGATGCGTTTGGCGTACTCGCACGACGAGGTGACCTCAGTTACCCCAACCAACTGGCGAAGCCAGCTGTTTTGAATACCCATGAAAGTGCGCTGTCATGTGTGTTGAATAAGCGCTCACTGGATGCGTTTGAAGCTCAGTGGTCTCATATTCACCAGCCTTTACTAGTAGCCGGAAAATCCTCATGTGGCGAATCTCATCGTTAACACGCTCATTGGGACTCTTCGCATTCTCTTGTACTTATCGATGCTCGCCGGCACATTCCGACTGGTAGCGAACACAACGAAGCTCGCAAAGAGCTCCGGGCAAAAACTCCGTGCTAGCCTGAAGTGAAACCACGAATCTTGATGGTCTCATCGTGCATCAGAGATGGAAATGGCCGCTGCCCTTACTAACGCTCGTAAGTTTTTCCGGCTGATACGGGAAACGGGCATCAGGAGACCTGGTGTTAGTGAAACTATACGTGACGAGGGTGGACAGCCTGTCCAAAACTTATCAAAGCGCTTAGAGCGTTGGGCTGAGCACTTTGAAAGACAATTTACTCAATCGGATTTGTTAGATTTCTCGCCGACCACTGATCGCCCCGCTCCCTGGGCTGTCTTTTGGATTCACCCTCTCATTCAGAAGTCGAACGTGAGATCGCACGGTTGAAGTTCTATAAAGCCGCGGGACCTGATGATTTTCCTCCAGCCCTGTTCAAATTTGCGGGACCTGCTATTGTGAATGATTTACACGAGTTACTAGTCAATCTGTGGGAGCAGGCAACTGTCCCAACCGACTGGAGCCGCTCCGTCATAGTCCCAATTTTCAAGGGAGGCCCACGATCAAAATGCGGTATCCATAGAGGAATCAGTTTGATCTCCATCGCCTCCAAATTGCTTGCATCTGTCATCCTTCACAGAGTGACTGACACTCGTGAAAGCCTGATTCGTGAAGTGCAAGCCGGATTTCGTCGAGGTCGTGGCTGCATTGACCACATCTTCACCTTGCGTCAGTTGTTGGAGCACCGTCACATATATTGGCAGCCCACCGTTGTCGGGTACCTCTATATTACAGGTGCATTCGATTCGATGGGTGGATGTGCACTTTGAGACTGCCTACTCAGGAAAGGTGTACCTGAGAAATATGTGAATATTATCCGAGCATTATACGCGCGTAGCCCGAGCACATTGAGGGCTTACAGCAAGTTGCCGTCGTCCTTTAATATCTCCAGCGGTGTGAGACAAGGGTGCCCGTTGTCCCTTTCCTCTTCAACTTCGCTATTGATGAAGTCATTGAAATCGAGTTTACATGACGACTTAGAAGGTGTTTATCTGCTCCGAATAGAACAACTTCTTGACTTAGAGTATGCTGATTATATTGTCCTAATCTGTGACAGCTCACAAACGTGCCAATCGGCATTGGACAGAGTAGCGTTGGCTGTCAGCCGCTTCGGGCTTTGCTTTGCACCATCGAAATGCAAAGCGTTCCTCCAGGATAGGTTTGTACCGCCTCCTACGCTGACCCATGGTGGGGATCAGCTAGAAGTCGTTCAGATATTCAACTACCTGGGAAGTCGTATCAGCGCACGTGGGATTGAAGATGAGATCACGAACCGTATAGCAAAAGCTCGAGGCGCTTTTGCTAATCTTCGCCACTTCTGGCGACTGCGCGACATCACTCTTGCTCTGAAGAGTAGAGTGTACAATGCAGCGGTACGTTCGACCCTACTGTACGGTCGTGAAACCTGGCCCCTTAGATGAACGGACATAAAGAGTCTAGTTCTCTTCGACCACCGGTGCCTCCGCAATTTAGCTCACATCTGGTGGGAATACCGCGTGAGCAACGAGCGTGTTCGACACTATGTTTGCCGCCCTGGAAAAGGAAATGAACTGCTCAGCACCGTTATTTTACGCACCAGGCTTCGATGGCTCACCGACGTGTTTCGCATGCTAGTCCACCGGCTCCCGCGACCTGCGTTGTTTGCTCACCGGGGGTGTGGATGGAAGAACAGGAGGGGTGGCCAATCGATGACTTGGTCGAGAGGAATGAAGGCCCTCACTTCGAAGTTGGCCTCGGTTGTAGCGTCCCAGCTCATTGGTTGGGGTCCGAAAGACGGTGAACTCGTTTGGCTGGATACACTTACTGATATGGCAAGGAGCCGACCTCAATGGAGTTCATGCTGTGAGTTTCTTCGTCCCAGCCCATCCCCCTTTCCTCCCTTCCAACCACGATCTCACTATTTAGCCTTATATGATTTTGCATAGCAATTCTTTTTGCTGCATAGTAGCCGGCTGCTAGCTTACCGGAATGATGCGTATCCGTTAAAGGTAGGTCATCTGGCTTACACCTGTTTCATATTTTTTTCTTTTTTGTTCTATGTATTGCGGCACAGTAACTGAGGTGCTTTTCACCTCTAACTAATGTGTATGATGGTGATGATGATGCAAGTGGGCATGGTGAGGGAACATGTGAAGTGTGACTGAATTCGTTGGTTTATCGTGTTCACCAACGTATGAAGGGATCAAAGGAACTCTTCGAACTAATGATGTTTGCGAGGTGGCGTCCCTGCGGAAGAGGAGGAGGCAGTGGCTTTATTTAGCGGCAAATCACATCCGCCACATCGCAATTATGGCAAACGCTTGACAAGCGATAACCCTCCACTTCCTGGAACACTGCCGCCGACCTAATCACTGGAACGGCGTTAACCCGAACCACGCAGCTGGCAGCATATGGAAGTTGTTTGTCGAGGTAATCCAGACAATTTCTAGCTCAACATCATACAAAAGCCCGCATTCAACAAAGTAATACTTCTGGACCACAGGTTAGTTACATTACC